TATATATAAAACCTACTATATATAATATATATATATTTCATATATATATATATATGATATTTATATATATACATCTTTATATATATATATGTCATATATATATATAGATTCATATATATATATTTATAATATATTTATATTTATAATATATACATATTTATATATCTACATATTTATATATTATTTATATATTTATATATCTACATATTTATATATATAGTTATATATATACATAGTTATATATATACATATTATATATATATCTATTCATATATATATATATTCCATATATATATATATAGTTATATATATATATAGATTATATATATATATAGTTATATATATATATATATATATATATATATATATATATAATGTTATATAAATATACATTTATATATAAAGGCAAGCCAAATTAACTTTTATAACACCTATGATAGTAGAAAACTTAAAAATGCCTTCCATTATCCTTTATCAACATATTTACAAATCTATATAAATGTATATATATATAAAACATTTATAGTTTGATGTGCTAAACATAAGATACATTATTTCTGAATCAAACCTTGCATCAACTACCATTAAATTCTTCCCAAAGCATGATGCAACAGTGCAATCAATAAAGAATCATCACAGTAAGTCGCAATTTCTGGAGATACTGTAACATGAAGAAAAAATAAAATAAAATAAAATAAAAGAAGAAGAAGAAAAAAAAAAAAAAAAAAAAAAAAAAAAAAAAAAAAAAAAAAAAGATACAGTACACTATATTAATTTTACCATCCATTCTCACTTTGTTTCTTCTACTCCCCCTAAATCCCTCCCCCCTTTCCTTTCTATGTTAACCCATTCGCCCCATGTGGCAAGAATAGATGCCATGCCCACTGTAATACACGTTAATTTAATACACGTTAATCACTTTCTTTCCTTAGAGTCAAAGCTACCTAAGTTTCACAAAAAACCTGCCCATTTCATGTTTTCATCTTGAACTGCATGTAATAATCACACTAGTACAAAGAGCATGAAAACTGATGTAAAGCAAATATGGACTACTAACCTTGTATGTTGGTGAATATGGTTGAAAAGATGTCATGTGGTGGTAAGGGTTGAATATTACTTATTGAAGTAATTTTCCTTACTTATCTAAATACAAACTCTCTCATTTCCCTTTGACGTGTATTCTTTAAATCTGTTGTTTTGCAGAACAGATAATCATTATTTAGCCTTAAATATATTTGGCTAAATAATAATACCAATAGAAAAAACCTACCCTACTACCTGAACCACAATGGTCACATTTGATAAAATCTTCACCACAGTAGTTTTTGATACACCACCTTGGAAAACCATTTTACTGTCTGTGAGCTTTGACAAAAACTAATTTATATCTAATAGCTTAAATCTATGGTTTATCCTAGAAATATTTTACATCGAGAGTTTGTATCAAATAGCAATGATAAACCACAACATCTAAATCATCTTTCATTGGTAAGAGAATTTACTAGGCATCCATCTTCTTGTTATGTTCTTGTGATAAAAATATAATGTTACAATCCAGAGGCAGAATAGCATAAAAGAAAAAGAACTGTTCCTATCGTCATAACCTCAGTTGATTTTTTGCTTATACGTGTATAATATTTATATATATATAAAACCTACTATATATAATATATATATATATAGATAAAATAAAATAGATAAATAAATAAATAAAAACTCAACGGGAATAAAACCCAGTCTTCGGAAAAATCTACAGGATTTCACATAATCCAGATCCCCTGTGGTAATCGTACAATGCGTCCTAACCAATAAACCAACCTAACTTAACCCTGTGGGATTTATACACTACAATCTATTTATTCCCTAGCCAGGGGGCACTGCCCCATGGCCCCCATGGTATTAAATGCGCCTAGCCAGGGGGCTATGCCCCCTGGACCCCCTAGTAATATATAAACCTAGCCTAGCCTAATTATACGCGCCTAGCCAGGGGGCAATGCCCCCTGCACCCCCATAGTACTATATGCACCTAGCCAGGGGGCTATGCCCCCTTGACCCCCGTGGTTTTAATAAAATACGATCTATATATTCCCTAGCCAAAGGGCTCTGCCCTCTGAACCCCCAGGGTAAAACCACATACCTTTATATAGCGAAAGACCGAACTTTTCTTGGTTTCCGTCTATGGTCCGAATTCCTTGGTTTCTAATCACTTTTTTCGACATTTGGGGCACTTTTTGGGCTCATATATCAGGCTGAGATAAACACTAATATATATTGGTTCTATATATCCACTATATGGCTTTAAAAATGACCCGGAATCGATGCAACACACCTAAAATGTGACACTTCCCACCGGTGTTTCGAAACGAATGGCGGTGGACGGACTGTCAAATCTCCCATGCATGAATTCGGAAAAACAGACACTGGTAATTACAAAATAATCGTTTTCACAAGCGCGTAGTAATACATGGACTACTTGATAAATCGCAATAATGAGTTCCGCGTCACATTTGTGTTGGTCCTGGCAAGATAACATGGATGGGGACTTAGTCTCAGAGCTGTGCCGTGCAGAGCCTATTTTTGTCATTTCCCGGTAAATATGAGACCGCTGCAGATTTAGATATATTGATTCCTAGACTATTTTTGATGCTCTACAAGATGGCAATGTCCATTTTGCTCTATCTGCATGTGTCACTCTCGGTAACATTAACCATATTTATATATCATGTACACATCATATATATACACACACACACACACATATATATATACACATATATATGTACACACACACACACACACACACAATATATATACTAATACATATATATAGACATACATATACACACATATATACACATCTATATACATATTTAGGAATATATATGTACATAGTGTGTGTGTGTGTGTGTGTGTGTGTGTGTGTGTGTGTGTGTGTGTGTGTGTGTGTGTGTGTGTGTAGACAGACAGGTAACACATTGTTAATATTTACATATTCTTCTACTGGTTTTACAATCTTAAAATACTAAACTTCTAAATTTATTAATGATAAATGATTACTATTGTTACACTTTTTATCATATTGAGCTATTACTCTAACCAAATTCATGTGTTCATATTGGTTTACAACATATTTCCTTGTCAGTACTTTCAGAGTTAAATACCTTATCTTCAGCCTGCCTGGCAAAAGGCAACAATAACATTCTCAGCAGTATGTGGATATACAAGAGTAAATATTTAGAAAGAAGACCCAGCTTCCGCACTTCTTGGCACGTAGACAAAAGCCAAAAAAGCTCAGCATAAATTTTGCTTATATAGATGCAATTTAATAAAAACTAGAGAAACAATCCAAGCTATTCCTTGCCAGAATATATAAATTGGATGTTTGCAACCTATGCAAGAGCACAAAGCACCAAGGCCAACAAAACCACTTAACACTGCACTATAATCATTACTGATTTCCAGGTTGTGCTTCATCCACCACACCAAAACAAATTTTCAAAATGGACCCAAATAAAAAACAAGACAAGAAAAATTACATCTTAATACCACCACATCTCAAATTTCAAGACACGGCTTGTCACACAGTGGGCCCAAAATCTCAGTATCACTTGAGCCTCGAGTTCATTATGAGCATTCACCCTTTTTGATAAACGACTATGATACTAGAGTTTACCTGGAGGTTCAATTCTTCCTTATTCTCCTATCTTGTTTATCAATTTCATTTATATATATTAACACTCATTTTTCAATAATGAGGTCATCACTAAAAATCAGACTGCACATAAATAAAAATTATATATATTTTGTAAATGCCTGTAACAATACTACTACATGTTTTGGTATAGTAATTTTAGCCCACACAAAAATAGTTTTACAACAATATTGGCATTTAGTAATAGGTACATCATCAAGTGGTAGCCAAGACCCCTGGCAAAGGCCATCAAACATACATACATTCTGGCAAAATAAAGCTTGCAGACCTCCCCAAGCTCTAAGGCCAATCTTGGGGAAATTTGCAGTAATATCTTGAGCTTGGTAGGTCTTGGACACCTGTTTAAATTTACTAATATAGACAAATGACGACTGACAATGTATGCATTACATAAATAACAAAATTATTAGATCTGTGATGTTGGCCTCCCAATCAACATGATTATATGCATTTAATTAGAAAAACAGTTATGTAAAATTAATGTCGACTAATGGTAATAAAGACTACTTTAGATATACATGTACAAAACACAGTGTAATGTAAAAGTATTTCCACAATTGTAGGCCTAAATCCGCCACCTTTGCACCAATCCATTCTACCTCTCCTTAGCACACAGCAAAGGCCAACACACACTTCAATGAAAAAGAGTCTCGCAATCTGAAGCTCGTACAGCTCCCTGGCATTTTATTAATCATAAGCCAGTCTCAGCTCTCTTGCTGGAACATACAAGGGCATGGATTCAGCACACTATATATCCCATTTTAAAAGAAACACTAATCACCAAGTTATATTTATGCAATTTTAAAAGAAACACTAATCACCAAGTTATAATTATGCACAATTTGGTTCAACTGCATGTCACAATGATAGGACATGCATATTACATCAATTAAAAGGGACACGTGATTTAAACTCCTGTGGTTTAGAGGGAGACACGACACCGTATTTAAACATGAGGTAAATACGACTGAACTTACGACTCGAGAGAAGGAAAATCACGAAAAAAAAAAATCGGAAAAAAAGCGGAAAAATAAATAATATATACGACGAGCACTCTCTTCCTCCCCCCTCCCCCCCAAGCCAGCCACCGTTCCACCACACTCCCAAAAATCCCCCTCACAGGTGGCACAGTCACAATACGAAGAGGAAGTTTTTTTTTTGGTAGAAGTTGAGAAGTTGCTTTGGAGGAAGAAGTTCAACGCGATCTCTCCTTCCTCCTTCCTCCTCCTCCTCCTCCTTCCTCCCTTTCCCCCCTCGAAACAAGCCATCCACGCCTCTTATACCACACCTGATACACTTGACTCCACGCCTCATTGTCCTCTATCTGTCTGTATTCTCTCTCTATCGCCTCTGTGTGCGAAGGATCCATCATTTCGACGACGAAGAAGAGGGACTCCCGCTCCGCCTCCACATGTCGCCGCGACCATTCCACCCGGGACTGCCGAGACAAGACGGGAAAGTGAGGGGGTAACACTTGAAGGGAAAGGGTGACAGTTGCGAGAGTTCCTCAGCGCCATCTGTTGATTGTAAGGGGAGATTGGGGGAGACGGGGGAGACTGGGAGAGCCATCTGTTGGTTGAAAGGGGAGATTGGAGGATATGCGTGTGTGTGGATTTTATGATTTGAAGATTTTATATAGATTTCTTGTTGGTTTGGGTGGATCTGGAGGAGTTTTATTTATTTATTTATTTATTTTATCTTGATGTGTATTTATTTTGATGATTGGGTATTTTGTTTTAAGTTATCTGGCGGGGATCAAATAGATTAAGATTTGAATGATACGAAATGACGTAAATGGTGTATTAAAGCCCAAACAAAAGAATGCAATAAAGAATGCTTATTGAAATGCACATTGAAAAATGTCATTTAGAAGTATGCGTTATTTCAAATTCTACAGGAAACGGTGTACGGCGGAGCACTGAACTTAAATGAGGAAATGATTGTCATTGGAAAATGTCATCATAACAAACATGCAACATTCAAAATTACACTCATATATGCAAATGAAATATATATACCAATAAAAGTAACAAAACAATAAAATAAGATAATCAGATGAACAGAAAAAAATCTAGACAGAGTAAATCAAACCAACAGCAAAGCCAAACAACGAGAACAACGAGGCTATTGAAGGAAGAACAATAAAAATATTTTTCTAGGATTCTAAAAAGCCGCGCCATCTATAGAGCGGCGGCGAAACTAAACCTGCCAGAGATCAAGCGCGTCGTATCTCTCATTCCTCTCATTCTCATCTTCTTCTTCGGCCCAACCAACGCTCGCCACACGCCGACCACGAAGGCTTCTGAAAACTCGCTTCCGTCCCATTTTTTTTACAGCTTATTTCGGCCATTAATTCCTCTCCTAATTCATCTTCTCTCACGACTTGAAATCGATCACCAATATATATATATTTTTTTTACATGAGTTGAGATAATTTCCTTTTTTTTTTCTTTTTTTTTACTCTCGAAGGGGAAGTAACTCTCATATTATTGGAACGCACTTCATGTATGACTCTATTGCATTCTTTTCGCTCTTTTGGCATTGAGGCTTTCGGGCGTCATTTCTCATACTTTATCGCATTTAAAAGGCAATATTGAGAGATAGATATTTTAAAAGCAGCATAATGATCAATGAATTGCATGCGTTAGCGAAATCACAGGT